AGAACTTCGAGGGAGCTACAAGAAGTTCAAGGAAAATGCATATTAAGAAAAGACTTAGATGCACAGATTTCAGTTTTTTTTTTTCTGTCTGCACCAAAATAAGCTTGGAGTTGATTCCACTTTCCATGAACTTTTTTTTTTTTTTTTGGAGAGATTTTCACTGTAGTGTGCGTGCGCTCGCCAGACAGACAGAGAGAGACATAGAGACAGAAAGCGAGAAATCACCCCCCAGGGGGGATGGTCACGCCGCAATCCCTTCTCCTCCATTCTCCTCTCAGGATCTTGGGCACGCACGCACACGCGTGGAGGAGTCCGACCCGGTGAGGCCCCAGGATCTGTCTGAGCCCCCCGACCCCGGTGTGAGTTTTAAGCCACCGGGTCCGGGACACGAACTGCAGTAGACTACGTGGGAGTCCAGCGACATAGCCATTACGCTAACTGCTGGTTCCCAACTTTCCATGAACTTTTTAAAGTGCCCTCTTATTTAGTCTGCAGTTAACAAAGAGTACAGTGTTTGCTTAGGCACTAAGAATTTCAGTGTGTGACAGTACAATGTCATGTGTCTATTGAAGATGTGTGTTTGGTTCTTTTCGCTATCAAGTCACAAATGTTGGGTGATTGTCTAATATTTGCATACACTTTATTGCAATCGTATGCTCAACATTTAAAAAATTTGTGAACTTCAAGTAGAAGTTATTAAATCCTGAAATGTTATACACCATTGATGAGGATTTAAAAGAGCGTCACCTTTCAGTTACATGAAAGAATAGATCTTATCCTACCCTGTCTACAGATGATGAGTGCAAATCTTATAACACTAGTAAGAATCAAATTCCCTAAGACACCACGGTTTTTACCCACATCAAACTTTAAAAATAATTTTTTTTCACTTAACTTTATTATTATTAATATTTTAATTTGACCAGAGAGAGAGGGAAAGTGAGAAAGCCTTGAAGTTTCTAGATGAAATTTAGATTTATTCTAGATTCTTAGCATATGTTTGCTGGCTTTTCGAAAAATTGCTTATTTTTTTGAGAGGTTTTTGCTATAGGGCCTGGCACTTGGCAGAAAGAGAGAGAAAGAGAGACAGAAAGTGAGAAATCACCCCCCCGGGGGGATGGCCACGCTGCAATCCCTTCTTTTCTATTCTCCTCTCAGGATTTTGGGCACTTAAGCACATGTGCCCGGCGTGAGTTTAAGCCACCAGGTCTGGGACTCAAACATCGGTCGACTACATGGGAGTCCAGCAACATAGCCATTACGCCAACTACTGGTCCCAGATTTTAATTTTTTTTTTAAAGAATTAACTTATTTATTTTCATTTGTTGTTGTTATTTTTTAATTTGAGTAGTGAGAGACAGAGAGAGAAAGGGAAAGCAAGAAAGGAAGCCACCAGATCCAAGACTTGAACCATGGTCAGCCATGGGGGAATCCAGTGCCTTTAACCACCACGCCACCTGCTGGCCCTGCAATTAAATTTTGATGTAGAATTGGATTCTAGAAATCATAACAGGGGCCAGGAGGTAGTGCAGTGGTTAAGGTACTGGATTCCCATATGGTTGACAGTGATACAAGTCCCAGACCTGGCGGCTTGCTTTCTCTCTTTTTCTCTCTTACTCTTTCTAGCAAAATTTAAAAAACATAATAATAGTAATAATAATAAATAAAATAAATAATTCTTTAAAAAGAAATAGCAAATATGTTATGGTTCTTTATTTTATCATCTCCTTTCAGATTTTCCTATGGATTCTGGCAATGGAAACTGTAGAGGGGCAAGCAGTGGTGAGTATATCACTATCTTTCTGGTTTTCATTTGTGATTGGATTAATCTTTGATGTAACCTAGGTATTCCAGACTTATTTGGGGAGGTTTGTACCCTAAATTTAAAACGTAAACTTAAAAAGTTATTCTATCAGGCCAAGCAGGTGACGCAGTGGTTAAGATGCTGGACTTCCACATAGCCAAAAGCTGTTTGTGTCCCCCACCTAGCAACTTGAGAAACAGTGAGCATGAGTGTGCACATGACCAAAATCCTGAGAGGAAAATGAAGGGAAAGGGAATACAATGTGGCCATTCCCCTTTAGGGGTGATTTTTCACTTTCTTTGTCTCTGTGCCTTGCTCTGGCAAGTGCACAAGTTCTATGGCAAAAATCTAGAAAAAAAGAAAAAGAAAAAAATTGATCATCTATATTAATTTTATTTTTAAATTAACATGTAGTGAAATTAACCCTCTTTCTTGGTATAAAGTTCGGTTTTTATGAATTTCATGCATGTATAGATTCATGTGATTAGTACCACATTCAGGATATAGAATAATTTTATCACCCCCAAAACTCCCTCATGCTATGGCCCTTTATAATTACAAGTTTCCTCTTTCCTTAACCACTGGAAATTGCTGATTAGTTCTCTATCACCATAGTTTTTTTTTTTTTTTGAGAGGTTTTCGCTATAGGGCGCTTGCACTCGCCAGACAGAGAGAGACAGAAAGTGAGAAATCACCCCCCGGGGGGATGGCCACGCTGCAATCCCTTCTCCTCCATTCTCTTCCCGGGATCTTGGGCACACACGCACAAGCACCCGGCGTGAATTTTAAGCCACCGGGTCCAGGACGCAAACTGTGGTCAGCCATGTGGGAGTCTAGCACCCTTAATCACCACACCACCTGCTAGCCCTGGGGTTGGTAATTTCAATGTCAGGGTTTTTTTTTCTTTTTTTTGAGACGTTTTTGCTATAGGGCGTGTGCGCTCGCCAGACAGACAGAGAGAGACAGAGAGATAGAAAGTGAGAAATCACCCCCCAGGAGGGGTGGCCACACTGCAATCCCTTCTCCTCCATTCTCCTCTCGGGATCTTGGGCACGCACGCACACGTGCCCAGCGTGAGTTTTAAGCCACCAGGTCTGGGACGCGAACCGCGGTCGACTACATGGGAGTCCAGCGACATAGCCATTACGCTAACTGCTGGTCCCTCAATGTCAGTTTTATTACCAAAGCCTTTGTATCACTTTTCAGATTCATCTCATATGTGCACCACCTTGTGGCCAGTATGAGATCAGGACAAGGAGGTATTTCTTACTCACTTTTTAAAACCTGTGATACAGTACAGTCTTCCATGCCACGTTCACACACATGGAAGGGGTGAGCCCAGCAGTCATAAGTGACTTTCCAAAGCATTCCCCGACCTCCTCCTTCTCCGTGATCTCTCCACTGCATTCCAGGTTCTTAGAATGTCCCTTATGGTCCTATGACCAGAAGCTGGGGCTTTATTAATCCCACTCTGCGATTCATTTCAGCATCTGCGTCTGAGGTCAAGCAATGAGAGAAAACAGACAGCAATGGGGGTTTGCTTCAATTTCCTGGTACAACCAGTTTTCTATACAGGGTGGAAGGTTCTCCTCCATCAGAGTCCTAGGCTCGTAAGGTCTTCATTGCTGCAGCTGGTGCTGTTACCAGTGTCCTGGGATGGCGTGAGGGACAGAGTGCAAGAGAGTGGAGTGTCAGATGCTTCTCTAACTTCTTGAGTAGAACTACAGAGCTTCTCCTGCAGTATTCTCGGTGTGTATAACACCCAGTGCCAGGTTGAGCCTATGTTGGAACCAGACTGCTAGATACCAAAGAGGAAGAATGATGAGCCCACTATCATCAGTTTAATAGTACCGAGTTTCCCCCGAGTCTGTCCAGACATGCTTTAACATGGGAAAGAGAGAAGACATCAACAATACCGTAAGCAATATACAAAATAGTTGTATATTGTAAAACTGCCTAGAATGACTGGGTGTCTTCCTGGGGCCAGTGTTTACTGTTCCTCTTTTTAAGATGTTTTCCCATTCCTTGGTATAATGGTAGTGATAAAAACAAATAGGCAAAACTAAAGCTCATTCTGTTAGTGAAAAAATACTAACATATTCGAATGTTCTGAAAAAGCAATTATGATTTGTTCACATTCAAAATTTTATAGTCATGAGAAGTGTAACAGCTGAAGTTGATCATGCTAAAACAGGAAATGAGGAAGGCACAAAAACATTGTAACCCAAATAATGACCTCTCTCCAAAGTGTCAAGCTGTTTCTGTCTGGAATTTGGAAAAGAAATATTCACTTCAGTTAATTTATCCTTTGCCTCCAAGCTTAACCATTTTCTTTTCTTTCTTTCTTTTTCCTTTTCTTTCTTTTTTTTTTTTTTTTTTAAGGAGAAAATGATTCTAAGCAGCTCCCACTGTGTGTGTTTTATTTTAAATCCACTGTCGTAAAAGGAATACATCCCATTTCCATAGCACAGAATATGGACAAAAACAATTTTAGTTCTATTGGGTTACTTGGTCTGTCAAATCATATAAAATTAAGGCATATATTAAAATGATTCAATGAAAAGGTATGTTTTTTATTAAAATAATTCCAAACGCAATTCTTTTAATTTTCTATTTTGTGAGGGTGACCAGTTTATGAGTTTTTATACTGAAGACCACAAATTTCTCCAGTGAGGAGAGATATAGCTGGTAAATTCTGACGCTAATGAGCTCTATGAGCCCGACCAAATTACTTCTCTGGGTCTGTCTAGTATAAAGTTAGATTGTACAAATTACTTCTCTGGGTCTGTCTAGTATAAAGTTAGATTGTACTAACTTTTGAGTTCCTTTATGATATATCTTCAAATCAGGGAAATCTTAGCAGTTCCCCTAGTGTAAACTGAATACTCTCCCAGAGTTTTCACTCACCTCTTCTGACCCTATTTCTGAGGTGCCCCTGGGCCAACTCCTCTGGATAGCTCAGTGACTGGGGATTCTTGATTCCTATAGCTGCCGGGCCCACTCCATCCAGCCCACCGATAAAAAGAGGCTATGCTTGAGTAGTATATGCTTAGCTTGAGTGGTATAGACCCATTCTTTCTTTCCTTCTCTGAACTTTTTCCTCCTTTTGTCTTCTTACTGGTTTGGGGAAGGAATTCAGGTCTGTCCACTGCCCCTCCCCACCACCACCACACCATACACACACACACACACACACACACACACACACACTTTGGTGCAAATGTTTACTGATAATAGAGGCCTAATTAACTTAGGGCAACTGCTATACTTTAATGAAAAAATAGGATAGATAAATAGTATTTTTATAATTATAGAGAAGCTTACAACTATCAGGTTATTTTCATTATTTTGTAGCAGGAAATGAGGAAGGCACAATTCCTTGTTTGTACACATTGGTCTCATTTTGGCCAGTTTTTTTTCCTAAGCATTCTCCTCCTTGAGTTATTACCCAAATTGTCTTAGTTCTCCTCTTGTTCCCCAGCTGAGGGTTTGGCTTCTGTTCCTTTCTTCTCATTGTGATTTCTTCATTTGAGTTCATTCTATAAGTACATAGGCTGAATTACTACTTTTGTGGCTCTAGTTCTGACTGCTCTTCCAGGCAGACTACAAATTTTCCCTCCAACACACAACGCCTAACTAGATACCTTATTTGTACTTCAAATGTAGCATACTTAGTAACTAATCTTTCATTAAGAATTTCCTCTTTACGCCTTTCTTATTTAAAGTCACCATCCTTTACTATTCCGGCACTTAATCTCGATGGTTGATTTCAGTCCATTCACCCTATCATTCCTCAGAAACGAAATGAACATTTACTTGGGTCAGACACGCTGTGTGCCAAAGATGTGGAATGAAGACATGGGCCGGTGTCTGGACTTCTCTTTCTTCCACCTCCTTTCTATGTTACCTGGCATTGAGTAGACACATGGTCTCCTGAAGGCTGTGAAACTCATTTGGTCTTTCTGTTAACAGACATCTTTAGAGTGCATCACAAAACACAATACTTCAGATGTCTTGAGAGACAATAGGCAAAATTGCATTGACTCTTTCTATATTTTAGATATTCTGAGTGACTCTTGGATCCCCCAAAAACCTTGTGAAAGCAGCCTACTGGGAACCAGCAGTTAGCATAATGGCTATGTTGTTGGACTCCCTCGTAGTCGACCGCAGTTCGCATCCCGGACCCAGTGGCTTAAAATTCACGCTGGGCGCGTGTGCATGCATGCCCAAGATCCCGAGAGGAGAATGGAGGAGAAGGGATTGCGGCGTGACCATCCCCCCTGGGGGGTGATTTCTCACTTTCTGTCTCTCTGTCTCTGTCTGGCGAGCGCATGTGCCCTATAGTGAAAAAAACTCTCAAAAAAAAAAAAAATAAAATAAAGCAGCCTACTTAAAATTTTCCAAGGACATAAATCCTCAAGGAATACAGTGACTTTCCTTTTCTTATTAATAGAGTGTTATTTCTCCCAATCTTAAGCAATTCCTTTTACAGAGTGCAAATCACTATGAATTGAGTCCTTCATAACAATACTTGAGGTTTGTTTTTACAGCTAGGTTGAGAAATGTTAGTTTTGCTTTTTAAAGTCTTATTATATTAACTTATATAATATGGTTATAGTTATATAGTTCACCAGTCAACTTTATCACATTTTCCATATACTGCTCTAATTCAAAGTAAAATTTAATGATATTCTTTGCCCTGTGTACATGTTTAGGAAATAAATATTATTTGGGACATGTAACTAATGGCTGCTAAATCATGGCACACTTCATTTTATGGAAAAATGAAAAGAATGCCTTACATGAATTTTTATGTTAATAGTATTTCATTAAGGTATAATTTATTAATAGTAAAATGCACACATCTTAAATGTATGCCACATTGAATTTTAACAAATGTACCCACATAAGCATCACCCAGACTAAGCTAAAGAACATGTCCATCACTACTGGAAATTTCCTTGTACCCAGTCACTGA